CACAATTTGCAGAGAAAAGGACTTTTGATTTATCAAGGTTTATTTTTTGACCCAACAACGCATAAAAAGAATTTATAGCTCTCAAAATGGTGTCACAATTCTTACTGTCAGCGCAGGCCATCAGGGTTAGATCATCTGTAAAGAAAAGATGGGATAACTGGGACCAGTTCTACTAATTTTGATAGGGTTCCAATTACCTAGATCCACCTCATGAGAGATATTTCTAGAGAGAATTTCTAAGCATAGTATAAAGATGTAGGGAGACATGGGGTCTCCTTGTCTAATGCCTCTACTAGGGCAAAAAAATTCAGTTTTACTTTCATTGATAAGGAGACATAGTGGAGGAAGTAATACAAGACATAATAAGTTTAATAAGATTCAGAGGGAATTGAAAAAAGTGAGAGTGCGATGTATGAAAGACCATTCCAATCGATCAAAAGTTTTTTCAAGGTCAATTTTAGAATCACGCTAGCTTTTGAACCTTTCATCTTTTGGTAGTGGTTCACAACTTCTTGAACAATGATTGCACAGTCGGCCACTCTTCTATTTTTTAGGAAACTAGCTTGATGGGGACCGATAAGCTTGTCTAAAAGGGGTTTAATACGGTTTGCAATAACTTTTGTGACAAGTTTATAGATAGTATTGCAAAAGCCGATGGGTCTAAAGTTCTTTATATTATTCGCATTTTCGAATTTTGGGATGAGACAAATAAGTACGGTTTAGTTCCGGAGGGATGGTACTAGTGGTGAAAATATAATGGCAGAGTGATACGACAGAGGGACCCACAATTTTTCAGTATTTCTTATAGAAAAAAGAGTGTAAACCATCCGGTCCGGGTGCTTTGAAGGGCTTAAAAGATTTTAAAGTCTCTAAGATTTCATGGTCACAGAGGTCTTTTCCTAAATGTATTTTGTCTGAATCTGTGAGAATGGGAAAAGGATAATGATTGTAGTGATTAGCTGCGTCAAGATGAATAGTGGAATACAAGACTTTGAAGTAGTTGAAAATATGGGCTTCTATTTCAGCTTGGTCATAAATCAAGTTACCAGTATCATCTATTAAAGAGATAATACGATTTCTTCTTCTTCGATTAATGGTCGAAATGTAAAAAAAATTAGTATTTGCATCTCCATCAGTAATCCAGTTTATACGAGATTTTAATTTCCTGAACTCTTCTTCCAACCTAAGGATATCATTGAAGTCTTTTATAAGAGAGATTTCAAGATTTTGAAGGAAAGAGCTAGTGGCATACTTGGCAGAATTTTGTATACCAGTAAGTCTAGCTAAAATAGTCTTCTTTTTTGTAAAAATATTTCCAAAAACATGCCTGTTCCACCAGGTAATGTTGTATTGAAAAAGTGAGGTAGCTTATAGAAGGTCAAATTACTATTCCAGGAGTCATTAATAATATTAACAAGATCAGGATGCGAGCACCACATGGTTTCAAATCTGAAAGGCTTGCTAGCACTAGGAATGTGATTGCCATGGAGATGTAACAGTAAGGGGTTTTGATCAGAATAAGTTTTAGGTAGATGACTAACATGAGCGTCTGGGAAAATATTAAGCCAATCATCATTAATGAAGCATCTGTCAATTCTTTCAAGAATCAAATCATTTCGAGTTTGTTTATTAGACCAAGTATATTTGCTCCCTTTAAAACCTAGATCGAATAAGTTACAGTTGTTTATACATGACCAAAAAATGTCTGCTCTATTATTATTAACCTGTCTACCACCCCATTTATCATTGGCAGTGAGCACCTCGTTGAAATCACCACCAATGAGCCAAGGAACATTATAAGTTTCACGAAGAGCTATAAGATTTTCCCACAGAATTTTGCGACAATTAAATAAGTTACTAGCATAAATCACAGAAAATAGCCAGGGTTGAGTTGAGGAATATACCTTAACCATTGCATGAATATCTTGTCGAGTAACGGAGATTCTGTCAACAGTGATAAGTCTACGAGACCAAAGAAGAACCATACCACCCAATCGACCATTAGCTGGCATTTCGATCATATTCGTGAAAAGAAAATCATCTCTAAGTGTTTGGTGATTCTCCATCTTGGTCTCTAAGAGAGCAACTAGGCAAGGCTTATGATAATCTAACATAAATCCAAAATTTCTTCTAAAATAAGAATTATTGGAACCTCTACAATTCCATATGACAAAGTTAGTGTGGCTATTCATTGAGGCTAATGGATTGTTTTGGTTCACAGGGCTCACAAGTAATAATCCCCGACTCGGTTTCATTTACATGATGGAAACATTCTTTTTTCCTTGGTTCCCCCTGAAGATTTGAGTGCTTTGAACTCTGCAAGTGAGGAGTTCGGTGAATTGTAATCCTATGTTTATCTCTCATTTTTGAGTCGCTACTAGTGTTGGTGTTTGTGATATTGACGCCAGCACTGGTACGCTTAGTTGAGCTCTTGTTGGTAGTAAGTGATGTAGAGTTGGTGGATTTAAAGGGAAAAAAGTGTGAGACGGTTCCAGATTACTTGTTGGGACAGTGGAACTGCTTGGAGAATCTGCAATAGATGAAGGTTTGGGAGATTGATCTAGATCCTCTATTGTGTTAGATTGAGAGTGGGTCACAAGATTGTGGAGATGTTGGGTTCGTGTGAAAGGTTAGGATTTGCCCCACAATTGAAGCCTTAGGTTTGAGGCTTCTTCTTGTGGATTGTCCTTGTGTAATTTGATAGGATATCAAGGGTCTTTTATCAACACTACTATTGGTAGATTTACCAAGTTAAAAATAAGAGTAGAATTCTTTATGGTTATGGAATTGATATCATTCTCATGGAATCCTCTTGGTTCATTAATATAGAATAACTGGGTGAAGTTTGTACGAGAATGTCTATGGTTATTTTTGGGGTGAGAATTTGTGTTTCAGGTTGTGTTTCGAACATATTAGGTAAAGAAATTACAGAGGGAGTGGTTAATTTACCTAGGCTTTCACTTTGGTGAACATCTTTATGTTGCTTTCCAGTATGGACTAAGTTTGAAACATCAGAAGAAGAATTTTCGTCCATGATTTTGTCTCCAATAATAGTTGATGCAAGGCTATCATGGTGAGCATTGGCAGAAGTGTTTTTAGAAATGTGAATGTTAGCAATCTGGGCGCTCTCTATTTTATCAAAACCAAGTGACTGATTAGGAGTAGGGGCAATTACAAGAGTTTTGCTAGATTGTAACTTGGGTTTTATTAACTCTAAGTTAAGTTTCCCCTGATTAGCGGCTTCACTGTCGCTTGTTAGCGGCTTAGTCAGACAATTTTCATGATTGTCAACGGCAATCAAATTAAGGTGAGCATATGATACAGATTTTGAAGAAGAGTTAGAATTAGATTTTTCTTTGTAAGTAAGAGTTTTTGAATCAAGATACTTACCAGTGGTGGCATGATATAATTTAACATTTATACCTTGTTCCGTTTCTTTTCTCACCGGCAGTGGACGACTGGGGGTCGTCGCTTTAGAGTTACTTCTATTTCTCCGTCTGGGGAAAACAATAGTTTGCCAGGTGTCATCCTCGTTGTAAGTGGCGGGGTTTGGGTTTCCCTACCATGTTGAGGTTTTGTGCTTCTTTCATGCTCGATCTCCGTTGGTGAAGTTGTTGTCTTATAGGCACGGTTAAGTTGAATATGCCCTAATCTGCCACATGTTTTACACAAGATATTTGCTCCTTCATAGAAAAGATTTTGTTTGTGCCTTCCGATAGTGATGTGTGTTTTGACTGGTATTCCAATTGGGACCTCAACACAGATACGAGCGTATTTGCCCCTTAAAGTTGCAGATGTACACGTATCAATTTTAAGAAGACGATCCAACTTGCTTCCAATCTTAGATAAAATAATTGTATCATAGAACTCAGTAGGGAGTTCTGGTAAACGGACCCCAATAGCCGAGGAGGTGACTTCTGCCTCAGAGGCAACAAAATTTAGATGCCACTTTTTAATTGACAGAAAGAAACCATTGATAAACCAGCGCCCGTTGTGAAGTGCTTTTTGCATACTTTCTTCCTTGAGAAATTTGACTATGAAGTAGTCAAATCCTAAATCGATTAACAATAACTCTTCCGAAACCTTCCACAGATCTTTCAATTTAGATTTAAATTGGTGGCTCAATTCGTTTTCCGAATAATTTGATAATAACTGAAAATTTCCAAGGGAGGTACATTCTGTTCTTGTCTTCCAGGGATAACGGTATGGTGTCATCATCGTTAAGTTCGTCACCTGAATCTGTCTCCACATGCAACTCTTTGGTACAGAACACTGTATCCACGTTTCTTGACCCAACAGTGGAGGAAAAGGGGGTAATTAGTTTTTGTTTAAAAGAAGGTTGGGTTGGTGTCTCATCTAGATTCATAGAGGGTAAATCAGGTGGTTTTGGTGGTATCCGTGGTTGAGATACAGCAGAGGAGGTGGGAGGCATGGTCATAGTAGGTATCGAAGAGAAGGGTTCTGGAAATTGAAAAATGGGAAAGAAGGATGAATAACAAAGCTCCATATCATATATACAAGTGTGCGTCGAGCCCTTCATTTAGAATTCAAGGGTCCTTTGGTTGGAAAAGCTGCATTTGAACTAATGTGTTCAATCCAATGCGCAAGTTAAAAGGATTAGTTTATATAAAGAATGTAAATAATTTTCACAATTTGTGTATTTTAACTGGATAAAATAGGTTCTTTATATTACTTTTTAGGTTAGCTACCAAATATTTGAAAAACCGATTTACTTGATTTGGTTTCTTTTTAGGGAAAAACCAATCCAAACCGAACCATGAACACCCCTAGTTACACGTTTTCTTTTTTCTTTTTTCCCCTTCCTTTCTTTAGTCTTTGTTTCAACTTTTAAAATTCCTAAATCAAAAATACATCTCTCAGCCACCCTCTCAAAAACTCAAGTTTATGGTGCTCATAGTGCACCCATGCTCTTGAAATCTTGAATACGCCTCTGCTATCAGTGTATAGAAGTTAACTCACGTTAAGATGAGTCACTGTGCTCCACAGAGAAATTTCAAATATTCTTTCATTACCAAAAACTCATTGGTGAGTCTGTATTTCAACTTTGGAAACCCAAAGTTGTAGATGAGCAATAAGAACAAAATAGAGAGAAATAGTTCTATTTCTAAGCCCAGATTATTAGCTATTAGCTATCTTCATATTGCCAACACTAAGCATATTAATAACTTCATTATATGCCTTGTTTGCTGCTCTGTTCAATGCAATTTCTTTCTTTACATGGCACATGCCTTTTCCCCTTAGTTGATTGTCAATAAAAACTTCAAAACTCCCATCATGTGACCACATATCGACTACCCGAACTTTAAGTTTATGCTTCTGACAGGTCTCATGGAGCTTCTTCACTGGATTTGTTTGAAGCATTTCCGGTGTAATTATGGGCTCTAATAGAGTCTTCGCTACCTACAGGCCATACAAAATCAAAAGCAGTATGCATTAGAGGCAACGAAAGAGAAGAATACTGTCCAAGTAACGCATTTTGAGCCCCAATCAAGAATAAAGCACAAGACAGAAGTTAAATAAGTTAACCTTCACATGCTAATCTTCTTATTAGTCAAAATGACATTCTTTATCTACTTAGGGGTTGTTTCGTTCAGTTCTGGGATATCCCATGAGATTATCTATCCACCTCTTATATGGGATAATTAATACCACTATTTTGATATAAATTCATACCCACAACCAAACATGGGATAACTATAATCCCAAATTTTACACTGGGATTAATATCCTTATCCGAGTAACCAAACGACCCCTTTAAGTATCTTTGTCCCTCTCAATGCCACCTCCTATTTGTATATTCTCATTACATGGGACCATGTGGATATAGAACTTAAAGTAAAGACATTGAGCACACAAGCTCGTCAAATTCTCAAATATTTCTCTTTTTCCGATATTTTCTGTGACATAAATGGCATTACTTCAGCATCCAATCACAGAGATTCATACAAGGTTTCTCATGAATTTCAGAGTCATAAGGTTCTAATATAATATATAACTTATCCACACTTGGTGGTATGACTAATTCATTAGATGTCTTCAGCGGAAGAGCCCTGTTTCCTTCTTTATTCTAAAGTTAACAAAATTTATATGCCATAAATTCACAAAGTGTGCATGCCTTGTAGCCATGTTTGAGGTGATAGCGGGCTAGAAAGGGAAGCCAAAGCTAAACCTAGCATTTGCATTGGCTCTAAGTGGACTTCCCTGCTACAACATGTAAAATTTAGCTAAAGGAAAAGGTACTCCTCTTTCCTTTTCTTTTGCTGGTTCGCTTTTTTCGTTTCTTTTCTTTCTTTATTTACACTTTTCTTTTGGGGGGATAGGGGGCGGGGTGGGAAGTTCATGTAGGAACCTTAGCTCCTAGCAACCTAAAAGCTATAAGAATTACAAGACATTTAAAAGAATTGTGATCAAAACCTTCACATATGAAGAGGTACATGTACGGCTAATGCTCTTAAAATGAGGAATTTGAGGGGGGAAAGAGAGCACACCTCCCAGGTAATGTCAATTGAGGAATCGCTATCAATAAATACTGCTCCTATTGTTGATTCAACAACATCAGCAAGCACCTTCGGAGCATTTATCAATCCATGAGAATGCAAGGGATACTCTGGAAGAGCATTTATAAATGATTGAATCTGTGATTAAAGATAACTTTTGTCAATTGGAAGAAGATAAGGGGCACATACAAAATCTGAAAATGAAACACTAAGAAAAAGGTAAAGCAGTAAAAGATCAGTAAAGTGAGAAAAGTCAAAGGAAGTAAAGTGAGACTTTCCCATCCATCTTATTCGCAAAGGTTAACAGATATTTTCGATAAACACAGTCAGGGTGGAAACAGAATTGAAGAAGTATTAGACACAACTTGAATGTAGTCCTCTTTAAAGAATCTAAGGTCAACTATGTTAAATCTTTCTCCTTATTCCATTAACTGTTGGTTTTGCTTTCTTCCATGACCTTTTTTCCACCCAAGGTTTTGATTGCGGAGCTCGGACGAGGAGGGTTCTCTAAAAGGAAGTGAAGAGTAGAGTAGTAGTTCAAACGAAAACCATCTAACCTGTAGTATAGGAGAAGCCAATCAGGAAATTAATTACATTGATTTACTACATTACTCCATTTCTATAATATTCAACTAGACAAAGGAACCAGGTAAACTAGGGTATGGGGGTCATGGATACATTATATTAAGCAGCTCTTGGCATGCATCTTTGCTTGGTCAGAAGCACAAATACAGGCACTCCGCTGATCGTGCAGTGAATTATTGTGACTAAGGTGCTATAGGTATGGCTCACAGTGGCACGAGCCTTCATATTGCTCCAGATTGGGTTAGTAGCAACCTGTTGGTTTGGTCAAAGATAAAGATCTTGAAGTGAAAAGAAGAAAGCCAACAACAACATCATAATCAGTATTATCCCGCACTGTGGGGTTTGGGGAAAAGAAGAAAGCGAATGCCCTTAATTAGTAAGCTCACTTACTCGTCGTGTAAGGATAGGCCTTCCATGCCGTAAATACTTGTGGAAGCTATGCTTAACAGCAACACGTGCAAGCTTCTCCGTGTCAACATTTGCTGCACGTAGAGGTGACAACAACCCAGGTGGAAGATTTGGATACTTGGAAAACTGTTGTTTTGTTATCATAAGGTTAAGAACCGAGTCACCCACATACTCGAGCCGCTCATAAGATATACAGTCCTTGTCATACGACGGGTGTGTAAAAGCTTGCCACAGTAAATTCTGATCATTAAAGTGGTACCCTATGATTTTTTGTACTTCTTCAACATTTTGTAATGTGGCATCTTGCAATGACCTTTTTGTTGCCTCCTCGTTTGCCAGGATGCCTGGTAGGAAGCTATTCAAAATAGCCCCTATAAAAGTAGCAGCTAGAGTCAAAAAAGAGCTATGACTGTAGCCAATATTAAATGTCATAAAATGTCTATTGCATTAAGTCCAGCAGAACAATTTCACTAGCGTAAATATAAAATCAACTGGAAGAAATAAAATCCTAAGCGGGACGATTGTTGCTAGGTATTTCTTTATTCCCACATTCTACTGCCTGAAAAGCCGCTAACTTTTCAAGCCTATCCGTACCTAAAAGGAGACTTTATGGGGAGGTGAGACAGTGCTTCCAAGAGCTGTGGCGTAGGAGTGTTTGTAAAAGAGAAGTTCACCAGAAGTTACGTGGATCTTGAATTTGGTAAATAGCTGCTTTTCTTTGGCTCATGCAGATAACTGTCTCAGTTTTGTCAATTTTAAATAGAAGGTCACCTAACTGCAGAGATTTGAGTTTATTACTGGAAGTATTTATGTCAATAAGAATATAAGTAAAGCACAATTGCTTGGACTTCTGATTTCCGCCACAAAGGTGAAAAGATCTATCATCATAAAGTAAAGCAGCAGGATAAGATAAAGACAGTTGACAGACACTTGATGTTATAAAACCTCCTCAGCTGCAACAGCAATCACAACAGCGACAGCACCTACACCTCAATCCCAACCTAGTTGATGCAATATTTATTGCATTCCAGCAAAATGAGAAGTCAGATTTTAGGAGAATGTCATACCATAGCTCATTGTTTCTTCACATGTATCAGGTGCCTACTTTTTTGACTGCATTTAACTTGTCTGTTGAAGAATGTCATCAGGTTGAAGAGTCATTCTGATACTACTAGTACATCAGTAGCAACTGATTAGAATCAAAACCATTTTTTAGAGTTTGGGCCTCCTGAGATGCCCAAACTACAAGTAATTGCCAGTTCAACATAACAATACTGTATTTTCTATCTCTAACTTTGCAACAATACTATTTTCTATCTCTAACTTTTCTTCTTATATTAAGAAAATTATTTGGTAAAACTAATAGTAATAGATTATAGCATAAACTAGTAAATGTAGAAATTTGTAAAGCTCATGCCATGCTAAACAAAAGCCAACAGATGACGGAACTAACTACTTGAAAACCTATAGTTGCAACTTGTAATTTATAGTAACATCCTTCCCTTCCTAAAGACATCGACAAAGAGTCAAAGACAGTAACCTACAGCACAGAGACTGATGAGATAACTTAAGTCGTGCACTGAAACCATAGCCATAATACACATATCATTTTTACCTTTCTGCTCTACTTAATACTTTGAAGAAGTTGGAGCTCCACAAACCCATCATACCATGTAATTTACGAACTGTGACACCCAAAGCACAAATAACAGAACATCTGCATAGCTCCTTCACATTCTGCTTAATCAAATTACTTCAAATTGTCTTTTTTTTTTTTTTTTTTGATAAGGTAAATTACTTCAAATTGTCTAAGTGCTGCAAACACTTCTAGTACAAAAACTAAATATATGAATATAAGTCATTGTTTCATGACAGTTCAAAATACGGATTATAGCTACAACTGTGCTTGTGGTCAGTCGAGGCGCGTGTAAGCTGGCCTTAGCACCACCGTCAACCAAAAAAAATTCCAGTTATAGATTGGTTCAGCTTGCAAAGTTACATTTCAGCACTGGAAACAATTGCATTCAAATATTGCTTTTCATCCAAAGAACTTTGAACCAAATTCTAATTTTTCAATTTACTTTCCATATAGCTCCCTAAATCCATAGACGCCCATTAATCAAACAAGAAACAGTAAACCTGCCCGTCAATTAAAAGATTCAATCTTTAAGCTCATATATACATTTTAAAAGACAGACAAAAATCTCTATGCATATTCGATTAAAAAAAAAAAAGGAAACACAGATTAGAATTGGCTAACCGTATTTTTGGAGGTTATGAACGGAGACCCAATTCACGGCTGGAGTGAAAAAGGAACGTAACCAAGATCCCATTTGTAATTAGAGCATCTACTGATTTGTTCTTTGAGCCATTTCTTCCCTTCGTTTCCTTCCCGCTTCCACGCGGTAGACTGGAATGGTAGCAATTTAACTATCTGGTTGAAGAAGTTCAAGCTTGAGCCTTTTAGTTCTCTTTATAAATTTACAGCTTGTTTGGATGGTTGTTCCCCGTCATTGTTTTGTTATTACAAAATAATATTTGTTTATTTATTAAAATTGATTGTATTGCATTGTTAAATTCAACCAATTCGAAACAATGGATTTAGTGTGGTGGAATTGTTTTCTATTTTTCTTTCCAATTATGGCTAACTTATTATTCCACAATTCTATTTTACCTTTTAACTTTTTTCTATTTTAACTCGAAATCTCCAACCTATAACCTACATTATTATTTCCAAAACTTGCCGCCAACATTAAAGGTGTGTTGCCGCCTTCTATTTTTTTTTTTCCTAATTTGCTTTTAATTCAATTCTAATTAGCCATGCTCCTTTGTTTTGCCTTCTTCTGTCTCTCTCCTTTGTTATGGTGTTTTGCCTTCTTCTATTTTATTTTTTTAAATTATTTTTATACATAATTTTTGACAAATTTAATATATTGTAGTAAACTTATCAGTTATAGTACAGCACAATACAGTCAAATCAAACAGTAAAATATTATTTAACAATAACAAACAATACAATTTATCCAAACATTGTATTTATAAAACGATACGATACAATACAATACAATACATTATAAACGACGGGGAACGATCATCCAAACAGAGTGTAAATGTGAAAAGAGAAAAACAATTGTTTTGCTTACAATTTCCTTTTCTTTCTTTTTTCTCTTTCGTCAAGTATTATTTTCGGGTGTGTTTGGTGATGAATGAAAATGTTTTATTACGGATTTTAAAAAATAATTTTTAGGAAAATAAGTTCTTACTTATTTTAGTGTTTAGTTGGTGAAGAATATTTATTTTACTAAAAGAATGTTAATAATGATTAAAACAACATGTTTAAGTAAAATAATGTTGTTAATGATTAAAACAACTTTTTTAGCTCTTAAACTAGGAAAGTATAGTAAATATAATCAAAAGATAAAATACACTTTTTTTTAAAAGAAGGTTGTGAAAAAAATATACTACTCCCTCCGTTTCAATTTATGTAAACCTATTTCTTTCTTAGTTCGTGCCAAAAAGAATGACCCATTTTCTCTATTTGGAAATAATTTACCTTTATGCAATGATTTATAACCACACAAAATATATGTACCTCATCTTACACCACAAGTTCAAAAGTTTCTCTCTTTTCTTAAACTCCGTGCTCAGTCAAATGGTTCACATAAATTAAAACGAAGGGAGTATATACCCAAGAGACGACGTAGTGGCCAATAAAGTGAATGAGAATGATGAGGTCTCAGATTCAAATTCCAGCAGAGGCTAAGGGTGGCATGTGGGCCGGGCCCGGGCCTAAACGGGCCTCGTGGGACGGCCCTAAATGGGCCGGTCCTAAGTGGGCCCGGTCTTCGTGGGCTTTTTGGTAGGAACCGGCCCGGGACCGGGACCACTAACTAATGGTCCCGGGCTAAGTGGGCCGGGCCTATTTTTTTAAATTTTTTAAATATATATATATATATGTATATATATACATACATCTTAATATAGCTAATGTTATGTCGAATATAGCTTATATACTATACACTTAGTATATATATAATACTATACTATATATACATCGTATATATAGTATGACCTAAATTTTTTAATTCAAATTTAAACACAAAAAATATTGTAAAAAGATATTCAAAACAATGCAATATAATTTTATTATAACATTAACAAAACATGGCAATATATTTCTTAGTCTTCCTCCCCCCATGGAATGAGCACAACAAGGTGCTAATACCACCATGGAGAAGAAAAAGAAACTAATCAAGATGTGCCAATGTCACGACCCTAAATCCCAACCCGATCGTGATGGCGCCTCTCGTGAAGACAAGGCCAGCCAACTAAACCCAATTTACCTTTTTAAGCAGTTAAACAACATAAAACAGTCTAAAACATGATTTAATAGTATTAAGTAGCGGATAACATCAACAAAGTGCGAAAATATAACCCAACACAGCCCTAACCGGGGTGTCACTAGTCATGAGCATCTAAACGTCATAATAGAATTCTGATAAATCCATAACTAGTACAATGTCTGAAAGGAAATAGAGACGATAAAGGAGTAGAGACACGGGGCTGCGGACGTCAACAGCTACCTCGTAATCTCCGAAAGCCCGCCTGAATCTGGAGGAATCAGCACTCGGGAGCGGGACCACAAAAGGTGTTATGAGATTTGGAAAGAAAGGGAAGTTGAGTCCGCGGTTCATTGGGCCTTTTGAGGTACTTCGGAGGATTGGGGAGGTGGCTTATGAGCATGCTTTGCCACCCAGCTTGTCGAGTGTGAATCCAGATTGGTTTTGGTGAAGTTGAGACACTAGTCTCTTTTAAGGAGGCTTAAGTTGGAAAAGTCAACTGGATGTTGACTTATGTGTTAGAGGGCTCGGATGTGAGTTCCGATGGTTCGGTTAGCTTCGGGAGGTGATTTATGACTTAGGAGTGTGATCGGAATGGGTTTTGGAGGCTTGGAGTAGATTTAGGCTTGAATTGGCGAAATTGATATTTTGGCAATTTCCGGTTGATAGGCGGGATTTTGATATAGGGGTCAGAATGGAATTCCGAGAGTTGCAGTAGCTTCGTTTGGTAATTTCGAGATCTGTGCCCTTTATTGATTCTTTTCGCTTGGGCTTTGTTCCCTTGGCATATTTTGACGTCCTCGTTCTAATTTTGGATAGATTCGACGTGCGTGGAGGCCAATTCGAGGGGCAAAGGCGTCGCGAGCTAGAGATTTAGCCGGTTCGAGGTGAGTAATGATTGTAAATGATGTCCTGAGGGTTTGAAACCCCAGATTGCACATCGTAGTGCTATGTTGAGGTGAGACACACGCTTGTTGACGAGCGTGGAGTCGTACACTTTTGGGGATTGTGACTTGGTCCGTCCCGGTTGATGATTTTACTGCGTATTTGACTGAAACTTATTTGCTATCATTATGATTTGGGCTGAATGCCACACTTGGGCTTCGTGCTAACTATTTGAACCCTTCGAGGCTTTTATTTGATATTTCCTCACTGTTTTGACTTACTATTTGAACTCAGTCAGGTTAATTTCCACTATTTTACTACTCAGCCATTTTTACTCGATTTTGAGACTTAAATGATATTTTAAATGATGTTTTGGGCTGAGAAACACTATTTTACCATTGCCCGAGGGGCTTGTGAGTATTTTTGACTGAGTAAGGCTGAGGGCCTATGTTGTAAGGAGACACTGATACTGATTTGAGGCAGAGGGCCTGAGATATGTACACCACGAGGTGGCTTGATTGATATGAGGCCGAGGGCCTAGATTTGATGCCACGAGATGGCTTGTTATTGCGCTTGGGCCGTAAGGGGCCCCTCCAGGAGTCTGCACACCCCCAGTGAGCGCGGGTACCCAGTGCGATGTGAGATTGAGCCCGAGGGGCTGTTATTGTTCTAAGATGTTGCCCGAGGGGCAGATGTGGTGATATTGTGCCCGAGGGGCAAGCTTTTATTTATTTACTGTACCTTAATTATCTGTCATTTACCTGTTTACTTGTTGAAAGAGGATTTTACTTGTATTTTCACTGGTTTACTGCTTTTAAATGATTTTTACTGCTTCATCATAGAATGCCTTGTGCCTTGCGTGTTTTCTTACTTTCAGTCATTATTTACATTTGTTACTCACTGAGTTGGAGTACTCACTTTACTCCCTATACCTTGTGTGCAGATTTAGGTATTTCTGAACCCGGTAGCGGGTATTGGTTGCTCAGAGGCAGAGTCATCAGAGTTTAGCAAGGTAGCTGCCCGACGTTCGCAGCACTGCTTTTCTCCCTCTTGATTTCATTAGACTGTATTTAGTACACTTTAGATTCTTGTTGTTTTCAGACCTTAGTAGATGCTCATGACTAGTGACACCCCGGTATCGGGCTGTGTTGGGTTTGTTTTCCGCAAATACTGTTAACTGCTTATTTTTGAGATTTAATCATGTTTAAGACTTAATACTTATTATTTTATTGCTTAAGATTGAAATGGGAATGTTTCAGCTGGCCTTGTCTTCACGAGAGGCGCCATCACGACCGGGTCCGGGTTTAGGGTCGTGACAGCCAAAATACAAGTTACATATTTACATGGTATCTCTTACAAATTTCATAAATCCTTCAAGGTTCGAAGGAATTTCCGTTGGTGGTGGCGAAAAAGAAGTTTGTTCATCACCGCTTCCGGGCGAAGCTGCATCCTTCGCAAGTTCAGCTAGCATTTCTTCGTAAGCTTCGTCTACCTCTGGTTGTGATTCAGCAAGTCCAAAATTTCTTCGTTTCGAACGGATTCAATCTCTAAAAAGTACTGATTTTTCCAAGCTCTCCCTCAAAGACGCTCTATAATCACCGAGTTGAAGTTGTCACGACCCAAAATCCACTAAGGGTCGTGGTGGCGCCAGACACCTCTGTCAGGCAAGCTAACTAAATTATCAATTAAATTCTCTTTTAATACCTTTGAAAATCTAGGATTTTTCCTTCCATTTTTCATAATTAAAACAATCTCTACTTCAATTAAAATTAAGCAATAATTAGTACACATCTTTCAAAAACCATCCCAGAACCCGGTGTCACAAGTGCATGAGCATCTATTGATAAGGAAAATAAAATACAACATCTGTCCGAAATACAGTGGACAGGGAATAAATATAAAAATGTTGAAAGGAACTACACTAGCTGCGGGTCGCCTCGAACAATGCAGCTCACCTAGTCCCAGAATCATCCCCGCTGCTACGCCCAGTAGGCCGCTAGAGGTATATATACCTGTGCAACAAAAATGCACAGAAGTGTAGTATGAGTATGTAATCAACGTGTACTCAATGAGTATCCCGCCTAATCTCGAAGAAGTAGAGACGAGATGGCCAACTTCGACACTCACTAGAGGTCAATTAACAACATTCTAGAAATGCGAGTAAAATTAAGGATTTATATAGTAGTTTTAATTCGCGAAGCCAGAAAGCAGGTAAACACCTTCAACAAATAATCAAGGGCTTC